TAGGTATATAGATGAAGTTGTAGTATTAAGTCTTTTTATTATTATTGCTATTCTAGTATAGAATAAGAATATAAATAAAAGAAATGATATAGTGAAAGCTAGTTGCATTCGTGAAAGAGTAACAATAGAAAGGAAACAGAAAACAGAATAGCAAGAAATAAAAGAAAGCAAAGTCTTAGAAATCTGAAAGCAATAAGAAAACAAAGCATGGAATAAACCGGTTCACAGCAACCATTGTTCACTTCTTTTCAACCTTGACCTTCACACCACCTTTAACACTTTTTCCCTCCTTCTTCACCTCAAGTGTGCCCCCTCCACCATTGGATACAACATTGTTACTCTGATGGTCATATTTGATAGCATCATCCTTAATTACCACAGCAACATTAGGAGCTATGTCCTTCACATTTCCCTCTTGATCTTTAGGAATAGAATCTTGATCACCAAAGTCAATAGGTTCAATGCACAACTTCTTAGAAGAAGAAGAATGATCAGAAGAACCGGGAATGTCGGCATACACACGTTTAGATGATGGAGTGACAGAGTCAGAAGTCTCTTGACTCATCTCCAGCATTAGTGGCACCTGTAGTTAAACAAAGGATGAAATTAGTACTATAGCCTAGCTGGTGAAAGGATCCATGTACTTCTGCTTGTGTTAATCAAAAATGTTCTGTCACAACAATTACCTGATCACCAGACACTATAGATGCAGGATTGACCAACTCCTGAGAATCCTCCAGCAACTGTTCTTCAAGCAAAAGGCCATCTTTCTGCAAAACTTTAGAGACCTTGTATATCTCCTTCCCATCCCAGATATTCTCTTTCTCAACACACACCAGGAAAAGGAATGTCCTTCCATATAGATTCCTAATTGCATCTGGTATGTTGTCTGGGTCATCAATCTAAAATTTAAAACATATCAGGAACTTGTGTGACTAATACAATGTAGACATATATTTAAATATAAAGTAGTTCATGAAACCTCATCAACGGAACCATTAAGCACAGATGGAGCAGACTCGCCAATGATTTCAGAGCAAACTGAATCAAAAAGTAACAGTTTAGCCTCACCAGTGTTGTCCATCACATTAGCATAGAGCATAAACCTGCATCAAATGTAAACAATTATGTAAGATATCTATTTGACATTTACAGAATAATAAAATGTCAATAACGTAGTTTTTCACCTAGCCACGACATTAGTGACAACAGATTTGCAAGTGTCACACCAGAACCTCGGCTTCTTCCCTTTGTTATTCACACCATTCACTCCATGGTGGATATGTGTGACTTTCTTGTTGCAAGCACGACAACTAATGTAATACCATGCCCAGTCGGTATCAATTGCATAGATAGTACACATTAACCTTGCCTTGCCAATCTAACAAAAACTTTAGATATGAATATGGATATTTATAGACATTAAAAAGTATTTGTAATGATAGCTTACTCAAATAATTACCTCGACAGAGTTAAGGAGATCCAAAATGGTCTTCCTAGGATGATCTAAAGAAGTATCATCCTGATTGGCAACAACAATCTCAAACTTTGGGACTCTTTCACGAAAGATACACAGTGCACCATCAGTTGGGAGACTATATGTCAACAACATGAAATATATAGGTTAGTTCCATAGTACATCTATATAAGTAGGCTAAAGATTTAAATCACATGAAATGATTACCTTTGAACAAACACAGCAACTTCAGGGATTGCTGGATTCACAAAAACTTGTGAAGCATCAAATGAGTTAGACAAAGTCTTTACACCTGTAGAATTTTAATAAGATGTATGAACCATGACTTTGCTCTAAACAGTATCAGTATATAATTAAGGCTGGTAAGATTCTGTTTTATGTACCTTTAAAGGATTTGATCTTCACAAACCTCAACAAACATACAACAGGACGCCCACCAGCAGTTTGGCTTCCTCTGTACACAGTCTCAGCAAATGATCCCCACAAGGTAACACCGATCCTTTCATCACTTTTTATTTACAAAACAGAACATATTATGTAGGATCATAGTAGATATATGGATAAAAGATTGAAAACACTTACGTCTCATTTCTCATCTCAAACTCAATCTTGCTAGTTGGTTTGTTGTTGGCCTCAAGAGTCAACAACTCTCCAATCATAACAATCTGGCCAATAACATCTATAAAAGAAAAGCAGAGGTAAACATATTTCATGATCTGTTTGTAAACTGTTGTTTATCGCATTTAATATATATATAAATAAAAAATATACTTACCAACCAATATGTATGGATTAAGATCTCCATTTTGAATTCTTTTGAAACTGGCTAGTGTCAGGTAACTTGAGTCAGAGACAGGATCACATGGAAATACATGAGTTCCATTTGTGAAAGTCATCTTATATAGATGAGAGGTTGGACGGAATTGGCCACTGGCATAATTGAGAGCAAAGATCTCAATGAAAACCCAATGACCAACAGGTAAACTTGAGACATATCTGCTCACCAGTTCTTTCTTCACAGTAGCATGAATCTTCTTGCCCTGTGAAAGAACAAAAAACAGTAGAGTCAGAAAAAATAATAGCTTTAAAATGGTTTAATGTAAACTAATTCACAGTTAACATTGGCTACTGAATTACCTCCATATCAGATAACACCAACTCTAGAGTTTCACCAGTGCTGGCTGTGTACTGCCGCCAGGAGTGAAGTACCTTCACTTGGACTCTCCATTGTGTGGTGTATGGCCTGACATCTTTGAGGTAAGCAAATGTTGCAGCAGCCATTGTTTGATGGTGTATGGTAAGATCTAATGTTTAGATTAGAGGCTGTGAGGGCTGATGATAATGAGAGGTTAGACATGGAACTATATATAGGGTCATATATTAGGTTAAAGAAAACTTGATCACAAAGCATATTGGTATCGCAATCTTGACCAAATCGGCATAAAATCTTAGCATTGCTATAGTTATGGAAGTTAGATAAATGGTTAGCAATAAATAGGATGTGATCATCAGAAATATTTGGGAAGGAGAAGATAATGTAAAGATACTCTGGAATGATATGAACAGAGGATAGGTGGGAAACATAAATTCAATTAGTAGAGGGAAATACATATTTGGAAGTAATTTAAATAGACATGATATGGTCTGTGAGCAGTTATTTGTTTTGATTGTGTAAATATTAGTGGAATCAATTAGGTATTATTAGCATCATTTCGATATTTGATTATGGAAATAGTTTATGAATATGTCAAGTGCGAAATAATAGCTTAGTAGAGCATCAAAACATATTTGGAAGGAATTTAAATTGACAGATACTGTAAATAACTTTAATGCAGATTGCCGTGGCGAAAATAAAGGAACAACGGAGATTGCATTTGGCGAAAATATACTTAAGGTATGAGAGATGTTATTTGAATTGATTTTGGTAAAAATAAGTAGAAGAATTAAAGACAACATGGCTTTATTTATTAGTTTGAAATTAATACAACATCCCTTAAATCTCTTATTCTAGATCCGAACAGAATTAAACCGGGTCAAACCCGGATCCAAAAGAATTAAAGCAAAAAAGTACTGTAAAAATGTTAATATAGATATGCATGTCAAGAAAAGTGATTAATTTGTTTGCTTGTCTATTCCATATATAGTGTGTAGAAGTGGCTTTGTCTTTATCACCTACTATATCAAAATTATTTGACTTATGGGCATTAATCTATATATACATTTTTGGATGACTTTTAGCAAATAAATCCTGGAGTTGGAATGTATTTACGGATGAATGCCATTGGCATTAATTATTTAAATTTGAAAAATATTAATTAAAGATATTACCAACACGATTTCGAGAATCATAAATTCATATCTTCCTTAATTTTCTGAGTCATTAATGTGATAATCTTTAGGAAATATTTCTCTCTAAAAAAAAAAATCCACATTAATGAAGGCATTAAAATCAACACTAACAATTAAATTATTTAGATATTCAATTATTTTAAGATTCTTATATCTTATTTGATATTTTTTTTTAATATCTCATTCTTTAATTACTGCGTTTAGAATTTATTGGTTGTTACCTATTTTTTGGTGAAATTTATTGGTTGTTACTTAATTAGTAATTATGGTGCGTTTATTTTAGTTAATATCTAATTTAAAGGATTTGTTTTATTTTATTATTAATAAACGAATAACATGTATAGAAATAAAAGATTTTTCTTGCGACTCCATAATAAAAATATTAAACTCTTATTTTCTACATTTCTTACACATAATATCCTCTTATTCAATAACAAAAAATATATATTGCATATTTTTAAAAATATTTATAATATTTAAATTATATAAAAAGTTTGTAATATTAATATTATTTCAACTCTATACAAATTTAATATATATATATATATCTTATGGGAACCATTTAAAAGAAATTTTTAAATTGACTTGAATTATATAGCTTTTAAATAAAAGTATTATTAAAAAGAAAAACAACTAAATGATGTTTAATTTCACGGGACGGGTAATATGATGGGACGGGTAATATGATGGGACGGGTTTGGGTTGATATTTATAAAAGATAGTATACCACGGGTGAAATCCTAAAATTAACAATCAAAATAATCTATCAAACAAATTACATTTTGATTTTTTTAAGAAAATATAGCCCCGCGGTGTACCGCGGGTTAAAATCTAGTGCTATTTATTTATACGGTGAAAAAATCTTCAAAATTTTACGAATTCACTTGTATCACGTTCACTACTGACAGTTTTACTACTGGTTGGACGACAAACTGTAGTAATTCAGTAAATCCGTCCACTAATTTCTATTAAACATTTTTACTTTTTTAAAATTTAAAACAAAGTATGTTTATACCAATTAATTGTATCATTATTCGAATTCAAATCCTTTGTAAGCAAAATAACTATATTTCACGAGTTAAGGAACAAAATAAAGAAAGGCACGGGAAGGTGAAGAGAGTACTAGCTAGTGTGTTTCCAGCTTCTTCCCCAAGAAATAAGAATTGACTTTGGCTAAGCAAATGGCGTCACTTTAACGTCATTACCTAGAATGCAATTAAGATATGGCTTTTACATAAGCCACCAAAATTGGTTCAAAATATCCCAAGAAAACAACAATTGTACCTTGATTTTCTTTCTTCTTCTTACCAAATCTGTCGGCATCGTCTCTAATCTAAGCTCCTCCTATGGAAGAAGAAGAAGGTCATCAGCAGCGTCGCCGCCTCTGCGACTATTGCGACTCCTCCGTGGCTCTTGTCTACTGCAAAGCTGACTCCGCCAAGCTCTGTCTCGCCTGCGACAAGCAAGTCCACGTCACCAACCAACTCTTCGCCAAACACTTCAGGTCACTTCTCTGCGACTCCTGCCACGACTCTCCCTCTTCCCTCTTCTGCGAGACGGAAAGGTCTGTTCTTTGCCAGAACTGCGACTGGCAACACCACACCGCCTCTTCCTCCCTTCATAGCCGCAGACCCTTTGAAGGTTTTACCGGCTGTCCCTCCGTGCCTGAGTTGTTGGCAATCGTTGGCCTCGATGACCTCACTCTCGATTCCGGATTGCTTTGGGAGTCACCGGAGATCGCTAGCCTCAACGACCTTGTTGTGTCGGGCGGGTCGGGTACTCATAACTTCCGGGCCACGGATGTTCCTCCTCTGCCTAAGGTATAATAACTTGCTCTGTTTTCTTCGAGCCAATTGCTCTGTTTTTTTCTTTCTCTGAAATGCTTTGAAAATCTCCAGAACCGTCACGCCACCTGCGGTAAATACAAAGACGAGATGATCCGACAGCTCCGTGGACTAGCGAGATCCGAGCGGACTTGTCTGAAATTCGAAACCCGGGAAGCTGAGATGGATGCCGGATTCCAGTTCCTGGCGCCGGATTTGTTTTCTACAAGCGAGCTGGTAAGATAGATAGTCACTAGTCAGTCTGCTTTTGGTTGTTTTTGTGCTTATTTGTCAATTGATTTTCCAACGCATAAATCAAATATGAAGGAGAGTGGACTGAAATGGTTCGATCAGCAAGATCATGAGGACTTTCCATATTGCTCTCTGCTAAAGAACTCGTCAGAGTCAGATGAGAAACCTGAGAATGTAGACCGAGAGTCTTCTTCGGTGATGGAGGAGGAGATTGTGATGGTGCCCGTTTGCACTAGTACAAGGTCGACGACACATGAGATCAACAGTCTTGAGAGGAACTCTGCTCTCTCTCGCTACAAAGAAAAGAAGAAATCTCGAAGGTTAACTCTCATCTCTAATTTTAAAACCATTAGGATTGGGATTCATTCATCAATCATGTCTTGATGAAACAGGTACGAGAAACACATCAGGTATGAATCACGCAAGGTTCGTGCAGAAAGCAGGACAAGAATCAGGGGACGTTTCGCCAAGGCAGCAGATCCATGAATGATGTGTCCAATTACTTTGATAACCAAAAAGAACTTTTGTATTATTAATGGAATCATATAATAATGTCTATGATCAGATAAGTTTTTGTTATTCTAAGCTTAGGAGTTTACCACTGTATATCGACCACACTCTCAAATAGTCACTTAAGAAACCGTCTGTTTTTTTTTTGTTTTGCCTACGATTCCTAATTTGCCTAAGGCAACATGGAGGATCACAGAACAAAACATGGATCACACTTATATACAACTACACAAGCAAGCAGCAAAAGATGCAGCTTCTTGTTTATGAACCACGGAGAGATAGACTTGTTGTAATGTTAAAAAGTGAGATTGGACCCATAAGAATACGAGATCCATCGAGCTGTAATTAATATTATGGACCAATGGAAATCTGAGATGTAATGTGAGTTTTGGTTGAACAAGGAATCTGGAGAGGTTTTTCTTGTTTAGCAATCAGTAAACACTAAATCGTTTATCAGACTTGTGGTTCTAATTCTCTGTCTTCTTGTTACTACTCAACTTGGACTTTTTTATTTGTTGATGGTTTACATTTTCGGATTTGAACATTTGGTGAAGATTGGTGGAGATGAGAGGAAGAGTGGCTACAGCTTTAAGCAATGTTGCATCTCTCAGTCTTCGTCTACTGTTTGTTGACGTTGAAGATTAGGCTCCAACAAACTTATATTTAACCCAGCCTTCCTCTGTTAATTCTCCTGTCTTCTACGCACAAGACTGCTGATTCCCGTAGAGACATCTTCACCACACTGTTGAGAGATCTCTGACATGGGACCTGGAGGACCCGGAGGACCTGGTGGACCAGGAGGACCAGGGTTTTTGCCACCTGGAGGACCAGGGTTCTTGCCACCGGGAGGACCCGGCTTCTTCCCACCCATTGGTGGTTTCTTTTCTGGGTTCTCAGACATGATATGTTCCTGGTAAAGACATTTTCTGTTTTGCTATGTGTTTTGTAAAGTGTTCAGTTGTTAGTTTGACTATGGTATCTTGCAGTCTATCTTGTCTGTGCTGCTGCTGGCTGCTACGAGATTGCTTTGGCGGCTCACCACCACAAGGACCGCCACTTCTTCCTCCCTATAATTGATCACATCTAGCTCTTTTGGTCACAAGCATAATATTAAAGCGATCTCTGTATATGATATTGCTGATGCTTGTCAAATGTAATCTTATATATGACTCAGATACTTCAAATATCTGGATTACTGCTCTGTCTGGATATATATTCTCCAAAAAAACGATCAAATTAATTATCAGAGAAATGAAATCATAGTCTGGAACTACAATCACTAGCAACACAACGCAACAACAACAACAAACACAATCTACAGTCTTCGATTCTTGACTCTCTCTTTTTGTATGGACTTTGCCAAGACTTTTGAAACTATGTACACACACTTCTAAGACGAGGCCAAACCAGTCTTCTCTTTCAACATGATACAACTAAATAAACCCGGAGTCACACGGTTTGTTGGAAATCATTCACATGCTATCTTGGTGTCGAAACTGCTAAGGCAAATGGTGAAGGCCTGGAAGGCAGAGATTGGGTACTGATAATCCATTGTGAACACATCTTTTCCGACTTTCCCGAACTGGAGAATCACGTTTTCGTGCTCAGGTCCTGCAGGTCCATTCTCAGGAGCAGCTACCAGCTGAAAGTTTTTGACCGAAGCAACAGTGACTCTCCCATTGAAGTTTAGGCACCAGCACTGGAGCTGTTCGTGCCATCTGGGCGCTTTGTTCTTCAGGACAAGCAGTCCTTCCTTCTGAGCAGCAGACGCTGGACCAGAAGAAAGACTCTCTGCACGAATTGATTTCGACCTGAAGAAGGAGAAAGACGGGAAATTTTCAAGATTGCTGTGGATAAGTTCCGTCTGAGTTGGAGCTGTTCCTCCAGGTTCAACAGCTGATGCAGGGATGGCATCCATGACACACTGCATCCTCCTCGGTCCTCTGGTTTGATACGACAATGTTCACAATTAGCAAAAGCCATAAAAGCAACCACCGTTTTCTCTCACAATGTATCTGTAAGCAAGGAGATAAATCACCTGGAACCCAAGACGTTAAGCTCATATGAGATGTGTGCTACAGGATAGTTGCCAGATGGATTCTTGGGCTCACTTGTTTCAGACTGAGAAGTCTGCTTGAACGGGTTCTGTAACCTGAGTTCCAGATTCGTCGGCTGAGCGTCAATACAGTGACTTGTCCCCAGAAGTTA